ATGAGCATTGTTATGGACACTTTAGGTATGGGCTTTCTTGGGGTGAGTCCGAAACCTTAAAATGGACTATTTCTAAGTAATCAATTATTCCCTATCCCTAATTACTTGTCCATTTTGACAAATAAAAAAAGAACAAAAAAAAAATTCTATTATACCCTCAATTTGTTACTTTGAGAAATGGAGAACTTTTTGAAAATCTTAAGTATTTTAATTCATCCACTTCATAATTAATAGGATAAAATGGTAAACTTACTATATCAATTATTGTTCTTTTAATAGGTGTGTCAATTAAAAAGTGGACAAGTAATTAGAAACAAAGGGAGTAACTAAAATACAAGATTTCCTTATAGCGAAGAAGATTAAGCTTGAAGTATAGTTGATTGATTAAAAATTTCTTTGGATGGAGAAGTGCCTTGGAGGAACTTTTTGAACCAAAGAAACTTCTGGCAATAAAAAAGGTGAAATGGTCTGATGAACCCTTATATTTGTATGCGTTTGTATTCTAAATTCTTATACTTAATCTTTTGTCAACTGAACCCTTAAACTCAATTAAAATGAAACTTTTAAAATTCTCTGACCATTGACCGAACTTATGTGACATTTTTTTGCTGACTCATTATAGAGAGTGGTATCAACGCTTTAAAAGGAGAGTGAGAGCAATAAATTTGCTTTAGAAAATTGATTAAATAATAAACATAAAAAGGAAAAACAAATTAAAGTTCCCAACCTCCTTCCATCATCGTCCCCAACCCCTCCTTCCGTCGTCGTTCCCAAAACCCTAGTCGTTGTCACTCTCTTAAGCTCTAGTCCGTCCCCAATCCATGGCGAAAGTTGAAGTTCATGTTGCGATCGACAACCAAGGAAGAGAACTATTAAGAAGTTCAGCTATAGAGGATTAGATCTGGATTCTCTTCTTTACATGTTGATGTCCATTGAACTTATCTTTATGCTTTCTAATAATACTAGTACTTTGTTTTACTGCAATTTTGCTGAGAAAGTGGATACTAAATTGCTATTGATTTGGGATTAGTAATTTGTTGATGCATCGCAAAAAAACAGAGGTTCACAACTTCTCCCTTTTTCTTCTGGAATGATATGTATTTCGGTGTTCCCTGCGACGTCGTTTTCGTCTACATCTTCGCCCATTCTGTCCACTGAACCTCGGTTAAATATTGAGTGTTTTAGTAAGTTTTAAAGGTGTCAATGAAAGTTTCAGATGTTGAACAAGAAGACAGTTAATGGTGATTTTGCTCCGGTTGCTATGGATCTTCCATAGTGGTTAGAGCATAGACGATGAAGAGAAATGGAGAGGAGAGCAAATAGATTTTTTTCTGTGTTGAGCTGTGGGTTCGATTGTGCGTAGTCTTCTTCTTTGAGCCTCAAAATTCTGCCACAAGATCCAACGTTAAGAAAACATTGTAAATTCATGTTAATTAGTCAAATGCTACCAATCAAGAAAGCTTTATTTTCATTTTTGAAGAAGAAAGGAATAAAGGAATGAATGTGGTGAGAGATCTCTAATGGTGGTTGTGGAGGTGAAGGAAAGTTGAGAAATGTAACTATTTTATTTTATTTTTTAAATAGAAAATTTATTATTTAACATTTTGGTTAATAATATATGATGTAGCATTATGACATGGCGAATATATTTGGTATGGATATGACATGTCATTTTGTAAGGGAGAGTGAGTTACACGCATGATTAGAGGGGTTTGAAAGTCTTATTTTTATATGAATTTAAGAATTCAGTTGACAAAGGATTAAGTAGGCGTTTGGCCATGTGATACTATATCACAATATGGTATCGTGAGATGGAATCAGCGTTTGGACATGCGATTTTTACGCTGATTCCATATCATGAGAGGTGATACCATATTCTCCAAAAACCATGATATGAAAATTATATGGTGATTCCATATCATGATTTGAGTTTTTTAATACAATAATTGATCCATGAGTTTATATTTTGTTAAAACAACCCCATATTTATATCTACTAACCATTTCTTTCATATGTAAATAAAATTTATAATAACATCCTTACTTTTTAAAATTTATTATTATCACCGACATAAAATTTATTATTCTCACCAACATATAGTCACTTTAACTCACACGTCACGATTGTGAAACTTTTCAACATTCACTTGAAACAATTAACCGGCATGTTAAAATAGTTGCCGAGGCAATTAGCAAGATGGCACCAACATTTATACAACCAAAAATATGACTAGTGTACATTCCAAAATTTGACATAATACTCGATTTTGGCCTTGGTTTAAGGTAAAATTTCAATCACATTAATAAATTTATTTTATGGCCTTAATAAGTGAACATTTATATTTTATGTGTAAGTTATTAGTATTTAGTTACATATTTCCTATCAACTTTGTTTAAAGAGATAATATTTATTTTATGACTTTGTATTGTCTTGGAAGCACTATTTTTATTACTCTTATAAACATTATTTTTATGAAGTGCATTCTATAATGCTTCCAATTTATTTTATGTTCAGTAAACTAATATTGATATATTTTTATTTGGTAGGATTGTGTTAGTGCGATTGATGGAACATATATAGAATGGGATGTTCTTAAAGCAATGCAACAAGCATATCGTAATCGCAAAAGAAGAACATCACAAAATGTCTTATGTGCTTGTGATTTTGATATGCTATTTACCTTTGTTGCTGCTGGTTGGGAAGGTACTGCACATGATAGTAAAGTACTTGAGAATGCACTTGTTGAACCAACGTCACAATTTTCATTTCCGCCACATGGTAACTTTAAATTACATCTTTAGAAAAAATATTATTTATTTACGTAAAGTTGTCTCATTTAAGTCACATATGCTTTTAGTAATTCTCTATAAAATGTTTTTTGGTAGATAAATATTATGTTGTAGATGCTGGTTTCTGAAACACAAAATGATTTTTAGCTCCATACAAAGGACTACACTATCATTTGCAAGATTACCGAGGAAGTGAAAGAGAGCCTCAAAATGTCAAAGAACTATTTAGTTATAGGCATTCATCTCTATGCAATGTGATTGAACGGACTTTTGGAGCTTGGAAAAATAGATTTAGAATACTGAAACAAGGCATGAACCATTATGATATTAATACACAAGTGAAAATTGTCATAGCTTGTGCAGTGTTACATAATTATTTGCGAGAATACCAAAGTACTGATGAAATATTTACGCTCTATGAGCATGAAAATATAGTTGTGGGTGATATTGACCAACAAATGGCTCAAAGTAACAATGTTGGTTCATCTTCTCGGTCACATGATCGAAAAATGCAAGTTCAACCTGAGGAAATTGTCCGTACTATGTGGGAGGATTATATT